GCTCGACCCAGGCTAAGGACCTCCTGCATTCCCGGCTAGTTTTGTCTGTATAGACTACGTAACACGATCATCATCATCATCATCAAAGTGCGATCGATTCTGAGCGACGACTTGAAAGTCCGGAGTCCGGCCGTCGACCTTTTCCTGGCACACGATCGGCGTGTTCAAAAACGCGGCCGCTTCCAACGGGTCCAAGATAAGGTCGGTGAGTCGCGAAATGCCGGCACATGGGAGCAAGTGTTGGTTCGAGGAAACTTCACGAGCACTTGACGCCCGTTCTGTGTGCCCGTAACCTTTGCATGGCCACGCGGCGAAGACGACAACGAGGCACTAAAACACGGCACTGACGCTTTAGAAGTGGAAGGCGCCACCACCTTGACCTGAATCATGTCTTGGCTGTCGATGGCCAATTGAGCGACATACTGATGGAGGTGGACGACGACTACTTCGACGTCACCAAGTACTACAAATGTACGAGCCATGCCTGGAGCAGGATGCATCGGGTCAACTTCGACGCCCTCGGCGTGGAATAAGTCGCGCCAAGCTTTGGCCAGCGACCAGTTGAACCAGTGGGTAAGCGCTCACGTCGATGTCGTCGCGTGCGGGTTGTAAGTCGCAGCGATGGATACGATTTGGATAGGGTCAACACATGGACTGCACCGGTGATCGAGCCGGGAAAGCGCGCCAGACGACTCAAACGCCCCCTCGTCGGTACAGCAAATCTCGCAGCCTTCATCAAAGGCCACTTGAACACACGCTTGCAAAAACTTGCATGGAGACGGGAGCGGTGGCCATTTGGGTCTGTATCGCCCGAAGAGTTACGAGACCCAAGCCAGCACGGTCGTTCGGGAAGATTGCGTCGGGATACACGCCGTTGGCAGCGAGGACCTCCTGGATGTTAAGTGCCAGAGATTGGTCGCGAGCGATGTGGACAATGCCACAGGCGGCCGTCGCCCCAAGGACTCGCTTGAGTTCACTGACGGCTGGAAGCGGGACAAGTGCGTCGTCCAGGGTATAGGTGACTTCGTGGATGTCGATGAGCGGCTGGGCAAGCGGTTATTTTGAATATAATTTGTCCTTCTTGGGCGAATCAAAACTCCTACAGAAGTACCAGGCATTCTTTCACAACTTCAAATGTAAAAATATGTCTAAATCTACCACAACGCTGTGCATACAAATTTCCATATAACCTGGAGTATCCCTTTGTCAAGTTTTTATCAAGTTGACTGTATCACGGACGATTGGACACATCCAAATCTGACATGAGGCCACTGATTGGCCGGTCAACAGCATTAAGAAGATATGCTCTTTTCAGTCTTGAGAAGAAAGGGGACCGAACTCACTGCCAATTGAAGTGACCACTACCCCTACATTGCAAGCCTAGGCTCATTGGAGGATCGTTAAAGGCGAGATTAAGTAAGTGCGGTGTGGTTATTAGGGAGAACTGCCGTGTTTGCAGCCGAAAAGTGAATTGGATCTTGCATGAATTCTTGAAAATTATGCATGGATGACTGTGTAATCATCACACGGTTTCAATACTTCCTCTGTTTCACATTACTGGGGACAATTGAAATTACACTTTATCCACATTACCGGGGACATTTTTCATTGATTGTCTAAGAACAAAATTCATGCATGCTATTGGTTAAACCAAGAGCGACGATGGGTAGGACACGTTTGTCATCAGAGCTGCGCCACGCCGTAAAGAATTCTTTCGCAAGTGTGGCAAACGATATATGTTGCCTTCGTTGTTCTTAAGAATATGGCGCATCACAGCCTGTAGGGTAAGAAACACATTAGAAAGCTTCTCAGCATCCACCTCATGAAATGCTGCGAGTGTGGCAGCAATAACGTCGTCCAAGGAGCGACTGACCATCTTGTATTGTAGCAACTCATTGGACGCCATGGCCCATGCGGCAACTTTCCAGTCTCCATGAGGTTATGGAAGGCCATGATGACCTCGATCTTCCTTTGGAAGGACAGCTCACGCCTAGTCGGTGCCATCAGCTTGAACGTGCGTTAGGCCCGTATTTTTTAAATGAAAATGATTGATTTCGTATTTTTTGTTTGGCCATTCAAACGGAGTCGATTTTGGGCGCCATAAAGTTGTTTTCCCACTCTGCAGTCAATAGACGAACCCAATACTTTTATTTCTCTTTCGATTGTGATAATTTTTGTGTGAAGTGGACGAGAAATGTAATTTTGGGGTCGCTAGAAGTGAATTGTCCCCAGTAAAGTGAAACAGACGAAGTACTTGAAATACAGTGATCTACATGTGAACTGGCGCAAAGTGGTACCTGAAATATTTTTTTACATTCCAAAGCGTCAAAAAATCAAACATATTTAACCAATCAGAGCACGCCTGATCTAAGCTGTGTGATTGGCCAAATCAAACATGATCTAAGCTGTGTGATTGGCCAAATCAAATTTCAAATTCGTGAATTTGATTGGTTCATTCAAATTTCACCTTGTCAACTTTGGTCCGCCTGATCAAGTGCCATGTCACCGCGTGACATGGCAGCACGC